GTGGGAGCCTCCTCCCTGGGAGATTTCCCAGCCCCGCCTGGCCGCGGTGCTGTGCAGCCTGCTCTGGGTGACCCTGCTTGGGCAGGGGGTTGGGTGGGGGATCCCCAGAGGTCCCTGCCAACCCTTGCCATGCTGGGATCCTGTGAAAAAAATCAAGTCTCCCCTAAGACAACTGTAGGCAACTTAACTGGTAATGACAAGGTATCCAAGAGCCACAGATGCTCTTGGTTCAGGTGAGCTCGCAGATCTGATCGGGAGATGATGCGGACACTCGTTAGATAATTGATGCGCAGGGCACACCGCCTGCACAGGTCCACACTCACTCCCCCATCCCTAAGAGCAGGCTTGTTGAGTGCTAGTTTGGGGAGCAGTACCGTGGGCATCAGACCCAGCAGCCCAGCACCCACAGACACCCACTCCCACAGGAGAGGTCCCCACCGGCCCCACAGCCAAGGCGTAGGGCTGACCCAGACCTCACTGGAGCAACGTGTGGTTTGGGGCTCGGAGGTGTGGGGAGAATACAGGGCAAACACGGCGGTTACCAGAGGGTTGCTAAAGCCCTTGCTTTGGTACTGGGCTTACCATGGTTTCCCAGTAGTTTGGAGCTCTGCCTTCTTGGTTGCTTGCTAAGTTGCTTGGTTTTTAATTCTTTATGGGGAAAACTACATTTTTATTTACGTCTTCTCTCTACACTCCGAGTTATAACTTACTTGGTACAGTGCCATGTCTATTAAGCAGAACCCTTTGTGAGTTTTATATTCAGAAAGTGAATTGGATGAGAAGAGGGAAGAACTGACCCTCGGTTTGCGGAAAGCGGCGGCTGTCTCAGCCATCCGCCGGTGTCGGGCTGGATGCAGAGCAAGCAGAGGCTGCGTTTCGTTGTGGGTGAAGTGGGAAATGGGATCTGTGGCACTGTCTGCAAAGATACAGGCAAATGACGGGAATGCCGTTCAATGTCATTTAGAGCAGACGTTCTCAACAACAAATGGAGAACGGGCTGGTGCGAGGGGATGGAGCAGCAGTGCCAACAAACCCACTCCTCGTGATACTGTATTTATCAAGTTCTGACCCGCTGTAAAAAAGGGTCCCACCTCTGCCTTCTGCAGCTTCTGGTGCACCCTTTGCTCCTCCCGCCCTCCGAAACCAAGGAAGAGAGTTACATTCACCTTGCTGCGAGGTGATGCTTTAGCTGGGTACACCTGCGACGGAAACAGGACAGTTACTCCAAAGGATACAGTAAAAAGGGGCAAGAAGTTGCCCGCAGTTCCCAGAGGTCTGTACCGTATCTGCTTTGATCGGGGACCGTCAATTCTAGTATGACATCTTTACCCACGCCGTGGTTGGGCAGCGTGTTAGCTGTCTGTCCCCAGACCCTGGGACAGATCCAAGGAAGAGCAAATTACTGAAAAAGCCTCCTACAAAGCAAAGGCAGAATGGCATTTGCATGCCCCGCCAGCTAATACCCACATGTTCACGCTCACGTGCTTTTTCTGAAGTCTTCCTACTTACTTTAAAATAATATAGCGCTTTACCTTTTGTTTCTTTATTGTATCTACTTTCTCTTTTTTTTTATCACAACCCAGAATTTTACAATACATAGTGCCTGGTACCTGTATATTCTAAAATTGTTTCTGTATCGTTAAAATGTCATTTCACATTGTCAGGAGAAGTTCCATATGGAATCATTTTCTCAAGCTCAAAAATACTTAAACAAGATTGGACGATTTATTTATGTTACATGTGCTCATTAATAGTAAGCACAGCAAAAAACAGAAAGGTGTAAAAATCTGTGAGTTTCTATGGTGGAATTTTTTATCTTTTTAATTAAATCAACTTGTTCTTGGAGATTCAAAATTTATCACCAGAAAATGTGGGTGTGCATTTTTTGCATCATCAAAGTGGCGTTGTGTCTGTTTCCTACGAACCTTCTCTGCTGCAAGATCAGCACGCGCTTGATGTGAGCTGCTGACACTCCTCTGAAAAAAATGGAGACAAAGTAGGTTTTGATACGAGACTTTGGTCGATTCTCAGTCCACACAGCATACTGTGCGCTGGGTTTCAGATGTGATTGGAATTACTCAGCGCTGGGTGCAGAGGAGCTGGCTGAACAGCTCTGCTCCCCGCCACGCCCCCGGTGTACGCGTTGCCTGTACATCTGTATATCTTAGTTTTGAAGTGGGAGCAGGCCAGCTGCGCTTAGGGTGGCACTGAGCTATCCAGAACCTTTATTTTCCTTGCAGAAAAGTATCTCGAGGGCTTCTTCAGAGTAACAGGAGTTTTCACAGAGGACAGATCTCAGGGATTTGTTGGGGGAAGGACACAAATCAATAGATAAGAGTGAAAAATCAGTGATTGTTTACTGGGTGGGTTGGTTTTATTATCTGTTCCATTTATTAAAATCCTGTTAATTTGCAAGGCAGAGGTGTAAGCTGTCTGCCTGAAGAAGACTGAACCATAAGCATTTTGCTCTTGACCTTTTCTGTCTGTGAATTTCAGCTGTAGTTGGCTGTTTGGTGGACGTGATCCTGTGTTTCCGCCACATCAGCCTCCTTTTTTGGGGGTGCTTTTTTTTTTAATTGACTTTCTGTGACTAATTATTCCAGGTCTCGGGCCGTGGGGCGTTCAATAGCTTTTGACACAAAGAAAACGTGTTGAGAGATTTTTTCGTTGGTAAATTCCTGCTCTGGGGCTGAAGTCTGACTTTCCCTGTGGGAGACACCCAAGGAGCCTCGGTCGGCGCGCGGGTTTCTCTGGCCAGGGTGTTTCGGCAGAGCCGCAGAGTAACGCAGCAGAATTTTGCAAGGATGCAATAGCAAAACCGCGGCTTTACCTCACCAGCCTGCGGGCACTGCTTTTGTTGTGATCACAGCGGGTTTTGAGTGATGTATGCACAAAGGAAAAGCAGAGAATGAACAGAAAGTAGTTTATGGTTTTCCTCAAAGGCACTTTTCTAACTCAAAACTACAAGCCTTGTGGTTTAGATGGTTTTGAAACGTAACCACAGATATTGAGAACTGGAAAACATTTGATTTACCATCTCCTCCAATTTTGGTACCAGATTCAGGACAGAGGAAATTTATTTTCAGAATGAAAAATGTAGAAAGGAACTGTATTAATGTCAAATTTTTAAAAACAGGAACATACTATTTGGAGAAACTGTCAGATGAAGAAATCAAGGTGGTTTGTGTCTTGACGGAGTGGGTGCGGATGTGTCTTGCTGAGATCTCCACCAAAGTGCTGTGACCTTGTCTTGGTGAAGCTTCGCCAGATATTCCTGGTCTGCAAGCCCCTTTTTTGGAGCTGTGAAGGATCGGTGTCAGACTGAGCACTTTCTCTTTGAGCTTGATCTGGGGACCGAATGGGACCAGCTGCCTGGGGCATGTCTCAGCCTCTCCAGTGCAGGAGACCTGGCCATCCTTGGCTGCTCACGGCGGGGAGCAGCACGAGCTGATGCTCTCCTGGCTGCCACACTGGTTTTTTACGCTGTTTTACACAGCCTCATCCTTGTTCTGTTTGTTTTGCTCACTGAATGACCCTTGCTAATAGCTGGGTGTCTCTGCAGTGTGTAGGAGTCTCTGCAGAATTTAAATTGTCTTTAGAAGTGGAGATTCTGGGTGTTCTGGGTGTGACGTGTGAAGGCATATTTCTGGCCTCCGTGACCTATCCTTGCTTTTGCAGGCTCTGTTCCGTCACTGTTCTAACACGTGTATCTTAATTCTGGATGCTTCTTGCTCCTACTGCAGTGTCTGGAGTCACCCCAGAATTTTCCTATTCTTGTCTTCTGAGCTGAGCCCAGATGCGCTTGTGGTTCAATTATGACCATTTGGTTTTCAGTTGCTTTCCTTTGTTCTTCCTTCCTTTGTGTTTTTCCTCTCTCCCTTTTGTGTTGAGCAATCATCTACTCTCCAGATTTGTTCTGGAAGGCTTATGAAACTCCTTGTCTTTTTTCCTTGGATATCCTGGCATTAGTTTCCTGCTGCTTCTCTGGTTCCTTCTCGGATGTGGATGAGCAGGAACCTATCCAATGTTCCAATGGGAACGTAACAGTACTGTTACTGCTGTGTTATCTGTGCCAAAGATGCTCATTTTTCACTCTTTAGGGGTGCCAGAACCATGAGGAGAGCTGTCCCCCAAAGAGGTCCTGCAGGAGAAAGAGAAGATGAATTGAACATTTCTTTCAGGAGCCAAAATGTTGTGGACCTTCCCGTTGATGTCTTCTGTCCTCGCTGGAGGGGGACTAGGAATAGCTCGAGATGCAACATGAACTGCGGTCCCACTCTGGTGGGACTAGGCAAGAGCCTAATGTTGCTTCGTCTCGTTAGTCTTTGGCCTGAGGAGTGACTGCTTGTTGGTTGTTTTATGGTTACCCTCTGACTACATTTCATCCTTAGGTGCTTCCGAGGCTTCACCAGGCAAGGAAGGAAGCAGCGCTGTTCTGACACCGGCACACCGCCGTTAGGATTTTGGTGTTTGCTCCCCAAGTTCAGTCCCCGTTCTGGAGAACTGAGTGCGAATTGCCTCTTGCTTACGCGCAGACTGAGCGGAGAGCAAAACCTTCTGGTCAGCTCGTGCCAGAGATGGGTGGTCGCCCTTCTCCTGCCCCGGCGGTCCGGCGCTGGCCTGGCTGCCCGGCACCAGGGCTCGGCAGTGCCCAAGAGCTTCCCCCAAAACACCCATGGTGGGTTCGGTTCCTGGGCTGGGGCAGGGGGAAGGCTGTTTCGTACTTACCCATCCGGGCACGGTGGCAAGCTGGCAACGTGCGGGGCTGCTGAAAATGGGCTGGAGGGACGGTTCTCATGCGTGGATGTACTGAAAAAACAGTGAGATTGGGTTGCAGTTACAGGGAGGTAAGGTAGGAAAAAGTCATGGAAGAAGGGGGCTTTTTTGTTGATGGAGGTTTAGAAAGCGTTTTAACAAGTTGAATTATTGGCTGTATATGAAGTGAAGCACTGCTCTCCTAACTGCTCTCATTTCCTGTATCATTCCGGCTTGTTCACTGCATTAATTACAGTTCAGATTTACAGTGTATTTGGTTACGCACTGGGTTGCATTCTAATTTTTTTTCCCATGTGTGCATAAATTTCTTTGGGACTCAGGCCAAGAGGAGCTGGGCTGAATTTGACTGTTAGTTGCTAATTTTGTGGGGAGTAGGGGTCTGGATTTTCTTCTGTTTTGTTGTAAAAAGCCACTTTTCTTTTTCCAAAGGAGAGGCGGTAGCTGAGAACAGCCAGTGTTTGGAGAGTTCAAGATTTCAGAGCAACCAGAGATTAGAGAAAATATTATCTTATGAATTGTAAATGTGGCATTTTTCATTTGGCTGGTGTTTCCCAGAGGTTAGTGGGGAATGGGAGTACTGTCACTCTCTTGGCTTGACCAGTAATCAGCTTGGTACTTAAAATGTTTTATAAATGCAGTGCTGCAGAGTTTAGCTGGATGAGGTAGAGCTTTTCACAGCTGAAGTAGCTTTTTGTGACCTGAAATATGAAGTGAGATGGGATACTAAGCAAGAAATCTGGCATTGGAAATGAGGTATTAGGAACCGTAGAACACAGAAAGTGATTGAAGGGATGTTTCCTTTTCAGTTTAACATTTTTCTTTTGGCTTTATGAAAACATAAGAGGAGGTGCACTAAATGTATGAGTGTTTCTGAGAACTCATTCAGATTTTTAAAGTCATTCTTCACGTTTATACTGTTGATGCAGTAGAAGGTTTTCATTCAGAATATTCTGAGTCATGGTTTCGTAAGTAAATGATTGCGAATTGAATAGAACCAGATATCGAAAGTGTTAGTGCTTTTAAAATGAAGTATTCGTAAACATTTGGTTCAGAAATACTGTTGCGATGAATAACGGTATGATGCATAGTGCTGGTATAATGAATGATAATAGATGAAAAAGAACAACTGGATGCAAGTTCTCAAACAACTGGGTGAAAGGTAAAGGAGAAAAATTTCAAATAACCTTCTTCTGAAATAATCAATCACTCTTTTTTTCAGCCTTGCCACTAATCATGGCAGCATTTCGTCCTTCCTCTTCCTCAGCCACCACCTTGCCCGGCGTCGCTGGCCCGGCGCGGCCGGCTCGGCTCTCCAGCGCCCAAAGGCCGCCCTGCGCTGGCCCAAAGGGGGGCTCCTCTCCCGCCCCTGCAGCCGCTCCGCAGGTTGCCGTGAGGTTAACCCTCGAGAGCCTGTTCATTAAAAAGTAGGGTGTTGATAATCCTTTCCAGCCTGTGCAAGTGCTCACTTTTCTAGGACCATTATATTTCATATTCAAAAGGGGGAGTGGCGGGGGCAGGTGGGGAGGTGTTTGGGGGTGGGGAGGTGTTTGGTGCGTAGCAGCAGCGTGGTGTAGTTGTGAATGCACCGATACCGCTTTGCAGTGTTTGAGCCCATGTGGGTGTTTAGTTAAAGCCACGCATGGATGATGCCTGCGATTTTGTTAGGATTTCAGAGTGAGGGATTTTAGCACTCTAATCCTGACTGGCAGTTGGCAGGTTGGTGGTTTCAAACACAGTGGCCTGGAGTAGCTGATTTCTCCACGGGGAAACAATGCACCAGTGTGTCTGGGCTGCCTGTGCAGAGCCAATAAATCTGTTTTGTTTTGTTTTTCTCTCCCCTTTTCTCTCTCTCCCTCTCTCCCTCTTTCCCCTCCTCCAGGCCAGGACCCACTCCAATTGCTGAAAACCCTTCAGCTTCTCTGGACAAAGAAAGAGATGAAGAAGGTAAGGCTGAGCCTCCCCTCCACGCTGCAGTTCATAACTGCATGCAGAGCATGTCCCAACGCAGAGCGCTTAGGTCAGACCTGCAATTCTTCACGATTGCTTTCAGTTCCAGCACAGAAGGGAAGACCCTCTGCATTTGCAGGGAGAAGTGAAAAGAAAAGGTAGCTCTGTGTGATGTGAAGCAGCTCAGGGGCTCATATAAAAGAGCTGAAGTTTACAGGGCTGAGTTACAGACAGAAAAAAATCAAAGTTGCTTTTGTTTTCTTTTAAACACTTTTTTTGTCCATTAAATGGAGTATCTGTGGGGGAGGGGGAAGAATATTTCTAGTAGCTGAAAAAATGAGGGTTGAAGTCAGTAGAAAAGCGCTCTTTGCCAAGTGGAATGGTATCAAAGCCTTCATATTCAAAATATTTTTACTATTTTTTCTGATTTGGTTTGGTTTTGCCTTTTAGAGTGCTGAATGCAATTTACACTGCCTGTCTAAAATTAGTGCTGTATTTTTATACAGCACTCTATGGGCTCTACATGGAGATTTCTCATAGGGAATAAAATATACTTCATCTAAATTTGGGAGCTTGAAAACTAACGAAAACACTGGATGCATCAGCTGAGTGGTGAGTTTCCCATGTTTAGATCTGCGTTGTTCAGGCAGGTTCAGAGCCAAGATGTTTTTTTCTAAAGTACCCAAAAACCTGCAGCTCACCACATCGCCGCGTGGAACGTCCCCTGTGGGAAATGGCCGGCGTGGCTGAGTACCGTGGCGTACGTGCTCCATCCTAGGTGTCTGGAGTGTTCAGTTATTGTTCTTGTCTGCCACACTTAGACTTTCCGTTGCTGATAGTCTGTGGTTCCCAGCCGGAATAATTAAACAACTGGGAACACGGCGTGAGAGGTGTGTTTCCAATGGTCAGTCACCAACATAGACCTGAGCTCAGCAACTCCGAAGCCTTGAGCTTTCCATCAAGTTTTTTAGAGTTGGAGGAAAAAAAATATAATTTGTTAGGTCTTGAGGGCAGTTAATCCCACAAAACAACAGTAGGGAAGAGTAATCATCAAAATCTTTGTGCTGTGTACCCTGGGATGCATCTGGACTGTGAAGAAAAATACTCTGGAAAAGAGAAAGCCTCTCATTGACGTGACCTTGGGCAGAGAGCACCGCAGCTTTGCTGCTGAGGGTGGAAATGCTTGCGGATCCCCGTGAGTCACGCCTGCAGCTCCGCTCGCCCAGTCTGCTGGTGAACCTGGAGGATGCATTTCTGAGCAGGAGCGAAGCCTCTGCAGAGAGATGAGGAGGGCTGCGGTGGGAGCAGGTGGTGGCAGGGCAGCAGCTGCCTCTGAGGTGGGGAGCACAGCGCCAATGTCCCCAATGGTTTCTGACGCGTGCTCGCCACGCTGTCCCTGAGATGGCTGAGCCACGCTGGGGGCATCTCCACCCCTCAGACACGCAGGGCACCCACAGCCACGCAGACGCTTGCTTGGGGACAGCTGCTGCCCTGCGCTCTGTGTGCAGCTCGAGGTGTGCGGTGCTGCTGCTTGTATCCAACGGGCCCGTTCAAAGGAACGAGGGAAGGTGGCTGAAACACAACTCAGTCAACTCCGGTGACATTTAAATGACAGGGAGCTGCTTTGTCTTTCACTATGTGTGATTGTAAGTCAGTACCATCTATTAACTAGCGTGAATCGGTGATCTCCATTATATGATGCCCATCGGTCTCAAGTCAGTGACCGTGAGTAGGAGACTGACTGTCCATGGCGTGACCTCGATTCTGGAACACGGTTAGAAGAAGTGGTCATTTCGTACCTGGAAAAGGCAGTTTTGGAACAACCAGGAAGCATCAGCAGACTGCCCTGAGCTGTGTAATGAGAAAGAAGGGACCAGAACTGAATGAAGGAGTATGTAGCTTGAGCATCAGCAGAATTTTCCTATTCCCATGGTCTGTCAGGCTGTAGAAATCCCCCAAGGAGCATTCCCTGCCATGGGAATCAATTGAAATGGAAATGGCAATTACATGTTTGAGAGGAATCCTTCTCTGGCAGAGACCAGCCAGGCAGCACAGCACT